TTTTTTATCTTCGATCCACACTGAATCAATTGTTGTTATTGATCCATTTGTTAGTTTAAGGTGTTTATCTATTCATTTTTCAATTTGATCTGTTTTTTTGTTTCTGATTTTGGATTGTATTGAAATGTTGTCGGATGTGTAGATTTTATTATGTTGAATGATTGATTTTCTGTTTTTGATATTCATTAATTCGTTCCTATTCTCTCAATTCGCATTTCACTGTTTTTATCTATCGCTGTTCGATTAGATCTGTTCATTTCTGGTTCGTGTGTGTCAGTGATCTTCGTTCCATCTGATCTTTTGATTCGTGTTATTCTTGTAAAAATCTGGACGTTGACTCGTTAGTTCTCTAATTTCTGAAAAAAAAAAAAAATAATAATAAAGTTAGATTGTTTGATGTTAGTGTCTGTTTCCTGTGTATTCGGAGGTATATTTTCACTCTATCTAAACATGGAATGTATTCTGTTGAATATTTTGGTGATATTTTTATTCCGTTCTATTTGTGATATCTCGTGTCCAAGTAGTGATTTTTAAACTGTTGCTCTAATTTTTTTTCTTGCTTGCTGATCCTATTGTTTTTTTTTTCCCCCATATTATGAAGATTTGTGCGATGCTCATTTATGGTTTTGCCTTTTGTTGTGCGAGGTGTTTATCTTTCTTCTTGTTCTTCTAGTATATCTTTCCTCACTGTCAGTGTATGTATCCCTGCAGGACGTTATGGATCAGGTTCAACATCCGACTGTCATGCACAAGGTAGCTGGTCAGTTCCTTTGTCAAGATCTTCAGGGGTATGATGGGACTGTCAGGAGGCCTGCTATCTACCAAAGCCGTGCTGCATATGGGAATTACTCCAATGCTGCACTGCAGTACCCATTGGTGCAGTCGTGCAGAGCCGGTGCTGGCCTGCCTATGGTTCCATCCACAGCATCCAGTGTTGTTGTACAAGCCCCTTCAGAGAAAGGTGTTGCCAGCTTTGCTATTGATTTCCTTATGGGTGGAGTTTCTGCTGCTGTGTCAAAAACTGCTGCCGCTCCCATTGAGCGTGTCAAGCTTTTGATTCAGAACCAGGATGAGATGATTAAAACTGGAAGGCTTTCTGAACCCTACAAGGGCATTGGTGACTGCTTCAAGCGAACCATGCAGGATGAAGGGATGGTTTCACTATGGAGAGGAAACACTGCCAATGTGATTCGTTATTTTCCAACCCAGGTCAGCAACTAATAGCTTTTGTTTCCGTTGATTTTGTTATGTTTACTGCTCTTGTATTTGATTTACACAGCAATTTCCATTTTGCAACAGGCCTTGAACTTTGCATTCAAGGATTACTTCAAGAGGCTTTTCAACTTCAAGAAAGACAAGGATGGTTACTGGAAATGGTTTGCTGGTAACTTGGCATCAGGAGGTGCAGCTGGTGCTTCTTCCCTTCTCTTTGTCTACTCCTTGGATTATGCACGAACCCGTCTTGCCAATGATGCAAAGGCAGCAAAAAAGGGAGGAGAGAGGCAATTTAATGGCCTCGTTGATGTCTACAGGAAGACATTAGCAAGTGATGGTGTTGCTGGGCTTTACCGTGGGTTCAACATTTCTTGTGTTGGAATCATTGTTTACCGTGGTCTGTACTTTGGAATGTACGACTCTTTGAAACCTGTGGTCTTGACTGGAAGTTTGCAGGTTAGTGTATCTTTTTTTTCTTATGCTCATGTTCTTTAGATCAACTACTCTGTGAGGAGTTATTCCCTGTCATCTTGTTATGTCTTTCTTCCCTTATCATCATTGTTTGTTTGATGATGCTTTGAATGTTCCCCGGATCTATGTCTACTTCCATTAAAGTAGTATAGAAGAAATGCAAAGCTATCCTGAGTGACCTTCTTGGAAATTCTACATGTATTTAGTCTATTCAAGCTAGGATTATTTTATATGGTTATAGAGCTGGTTAATTTTGCTTATTATGTTAAATTGTACATCTAGTTAGTCTAGACATGCAAAAAACCTTTCTGTTCTAAAAGGCCATTTGACTGGATTATTGAAATCACATTTTAAATTGTGGCCCAAAAAAAAGAAAAAAAGGAGAGAGAACTTACATTTTGATTTCTCTTTTGAATTTTTCAGGATAGCTTCTTTGCTAGCTTTGCACTTGGTTGGCTCATCACAAATGGTGCTGGCCTTGCATCCTACCCAATTGACACTGTTCGGAGAAGAATGATGATGACCTCTGGGGAAGCCGTCAAATACAAGAGCTCACTTGATGCTTTCTCTCAGATATTGAAGAATGAGGGTGCCAAGTCCCTCTTCAAGGGTGCTGGAGCCAATATTCTCCGTGCCGTTGCTGGTGCTGGTGTGCTGGCTGGTTATGACAAATTGCAGTTGATTGTGTTTGGAAAGAAGTATGGGTCTGGTGGTGCTTAATTTTGGATCGATACCCCTTTTGTTTCCTTTAATGTTAGATGGTGATGAAAATCCCAACTTTTGAGAATTTATCCCGGGAAAATTTTCATTGAATAATTTATCGGGATTAATCCCGAAACAATTATTATTTTTTGACGGACGTTCCGAATTTTGAAACCTGACAATGTTTATGGCCAATGCCATTGCAGAAGCAATGGAGTTTTTCATGATATTGATTTTGTTGTCTATGATGTTTGAAGCTGGTATCTGTTTTTTACTTATATTATCGTAATCTTGCCTAGGCTTTTTCTTTTCTCCTTTTTTTTTTTTTTTTTGTGTGTGTTTTTGGTCCAAGTTTGTATAGTTTTTCTCTTTTTATGAATTGACTAACCACCGTTGCTGTGTTAAACTTTTTGTATATTAGCTGAAAAGCTTGTAATTGCCCTCGCAGCTTTGGCTGCGATGGTCCGGGCACACCATACTTTTGGTAACTACTAAAGTTCTAACTGCTGCAATAAGAGCTTCTTTATTTCCCTTTCCCTAATTTCCTCTCTGTTCAAAAAAAAAAAAAAAAAAAAGCGCTTGTAATTTCATTGTGATTATGCTAGTAGGTAATAAGGGTTGTCAGAATCTTTTCAGTTGTAGTGTAGGGGTGTTTGGATTCTGTTATGAGGGTAAAGGTCAGCACTTTCTTACTCCTTGTAACAGGAGGTGGCAGCTTCATGTTAATTCGTTTTTTCTAAAAAAAAGATAGGGGTTAGACACTGAGAATTTGGCATAATGTTGCTATAGCTTGTAAGCACCAAAATAATATAAACTAATCCTTGCTGCTTTAATGAAATTTGACTAATCACCTTTGGAATATATGCAGTGCAGCATCTTGTGTATTTAGATGCTCTTTGTCTTTCTTTTTCGTTAATTTTTGACCCCTTCTTTCTCTCTCTCTCTCTATGTTCAAGAAAAATAGCTGGTTTGATTAAAGACGAATTCCTTGCTTGCACCAAGGGCTTCTTTGGTCCCATGACAATACATTCCCTGCGCAATCTGCAAGATGATGATGATGATATCTGCTCTTCCCAAAATTAAATGGGGCTCTATAAAGACCACCTCTTTATTCATTGAATGGAAAACAGATACAAAAGAGGATCACAGCTTAATTGTTTTTAATTTTACTCCTCTTATTATATTGGTAGTATCCTTGCAATTTTTTGGTGGTCCCAACCTATGAATGATCAATCCTCCCAACAGATACAAAGATTTTAATTCTACTTCCGATGAATGAATGTATAATAAAAATATGCAGCGATAGTCAGTTTCTCAATTAAATCAATTATATCTGTAACCACTTTGATCAAGGAGTCAGCTGGTTTGGTGATCAAACTTCATCTGTCTGTATATATATCAATATCAATAGCAACACTACCTTAACCTCCGTGTTTACTGTCTGTACACGAAATGAAATCTGAATTTGCACAACATTTTTTTTTATCAATTAATATTTGATTTTTCATGTTATGTTATCGGAGAATTTACTATTTAATTACTTATGATTTACGGCAAGTGTAAATAAAGACTTGAGTTTTAAAATGTGTATATAACATATTCTAATTTTAAATATTTGTAAATAAAAGTCTGAGATATCAGAATATACACATAAATGCCTGAGATTTGTATTTAATGCCAATATTCATTTGAAATTTCTTAAAACCCCTAACCAAGAAAAATGGAATAAAAAGAAAAATAAAGATATTTAGGATAATTTTATGTAATTTTAAGGGGTTACGTACATTTAATAAAAATTTCAAGTTATTATTTTTCACATTTTAAAATCTCAAAATTTTATGTATGTTTGTCTCAAATTACAAATACATTATATGCATATTTTTAAATTTTGCATTTTTCTATACACCAATCTTAAAGTGCAAATAACTAAAATGTTATATAAATAAAAATGATTAATCATGTGGTTTAATTAATTGCTCAAACCTCAAATTAGCATGATATAAAACTTTCCTCTTTTTTCTTCTTCTCTCGTTTGTGTGTGTAGTACTAAAATAAACAGAAGAAACAGGTTGGTTAGGATATGGTAGTATAGTTATGGCTAGCTGGAAATTAAGTAGCAATAGTAGTAGTAGGGAAGAGGAAAGTAGTTAGAAGAAATTAAAGTTGATGAGTGCCCAAAGAAGAAGGCATTATTATATTGCAGCTAGCGGTAGCTTTTTTTAAATTTAGAAACAGCTAAGCAAAATAAATAGCCATTGTTAATTAACTGTCCCTTAATAGTCAATGCCAATGCCATTCCCTTTTTTGTCTGTTTGTTTTTATGGAAAATCAAATTAAATAATGTCTTGTCTTCTATACAGTGAGTGAAGAGGAGCAGCGCTGGTTTTGTTTCCTCAACGGTTTGTAATTACTACGAGGAATATTAATTTAGCCATATCTCGTCTACAACTACTTGTCTGTCCCTTTTTTAGAACCAATAAAGCTTTTAATTGGTGTGTAGTTTTAGTCCCAACAATTTGTAAGTACCAGAAGGATATTGTAAGAACTGCCGTGCTGCCAGTGAAATTTCTTCAACGACAGGAGACAGGACAGGACAGCGAACCCACAGATCCTGCTAAATTTTATTTCAGACACCAAAAATTAGTATTTAAAAATTATGTTTTTACCGTTTAAATTGTATCATATAATAATAAAAAATAGATTCATATTACTATTATTATAAAAATGTTTTTTTAATAATATATCTTACTTATTAAAATAAAGTTTCTTTTTTAAGCAAAATAAGAAATTTTAAGTTAAAATCACAAATATATAAGTAAAATGGTTAAAAAATTAAAAGAAAATTGTTGTGAAAACTTATAGTAGAGTGAAAAAAATATTAAATATACAAAAATTTTATAAGAACATAACAACAAAATAAATAAAATAAAAGACTAAAGAGAGAACAAAGACCCTATTCCGTACTGATGTTTTAAAGCATAGGTCGGATTGTAAATCATTATCCTCCTCCTATTATTATTATTATTGTAAAGTTTTTAGAAGTTGATGATTTGTTTGCTTGAGATCATAAAGTACGGGGACTAAAAGAATATTTTACCATTCTATTTGTAAGAGTAGGATGAGAAAAGAAAGAAGAAGACAAACGGCGTCGTATAAGGCCAGCGTTAGTTACGTCGCAAAAGGCAGGGGCGTGTCAATAAAACGCCGTAGAACCAAAAATCAACCCCCCTCCTCCTCCTCCTCCTCCTCCTCCGCCCACCCCCACCATAAGGAAGGTTAGTACTGCTTAGGAAAGAGTAAATACAGAAACGGATTAGAGAGAGAGAGAGAGTCTGGGATTTTCATTCCATCGTGCTTTCCTTTCGCTTTCACTTTTGGTGTTCTCTTCGCAGCACCGGCAGAAGAACTCCCATTCTCTCTTTCTGTTTCCCAAGTTCGTCTTCTTTCTCAAGTTTTCTTTTTGCTTTTTTTTTTTACCCACATTTTCATTTTCGTTCTGCTGCGTAATCCTCAAATTGATGTCTCAATTTCGATTCTTGCACAATCAGCTCCGGCGGTTATGTTTTCTCATCTACATTTTTTTTTTTTGGGGGCTTAATTAGTGTATATGTTATGTTCTATTCCTTGAGCATTTTCATTCTGATGTGATGCTAATTTTTTTCTCCAGGTTCTTTCTTTTTTTTCTGCTGAAGAAATTTCGCTAATTGAGGTACAAATTCTTCTTAAGATAAAAAAGGTTTTACCTTTATTTCCTGATTGGATGCCGAAGAAACTGAGAGGATGTTACAAGTCGATTTCATAAGGCTGTTTGCATACTGAATTTTCTTGTATTTCTAATTTCCAAACCCATGTTTTCTTTAGACTTGAAAACCTTTGCAAATTGTAAATTTTTTTTTGTTTTTTTGTACCCTTGTCTAACTTCCACAACAAATGTAGATATGGAGTAGGAGCAGTTATTTGGTTACAGTTTTGCAGGGATTTTACTGGAGCAGTGAATAATGTTGCTTTGATCCTGTGAGTTTCCCTAAATTTGAGAATTTGGCTTATGAATTAGTTTCATTTTATTCCATTTAATCGATTTTGTTCATATCTTTTTGAGTCAAATTTTCTATGATGTTAGTTTTTCATGTCAATTTTGTTTGCAATTTCAGCTTACAGAACTGGAGTTGTTGGACTAGAGGTTAAAGATGAATGGCAATAGGCCAATGGAGGTACATTACATAGACACGGGTTTTCCTTACACTGTTACCGAAAGCTTTATGGACTTTTTTGAAGGTTTAGCGCACGTCCCCCCTAATTATCATCAACCCCAAGCTCTATATGATCAGGTACTTTTTATTGTCTGTTTGAAGAATGATGAAATTAAGGATCGTCCAGACTAGGTTTTCCATGGCTCTGGCATCCCGTAGTTTAATCACTTTTAAACTGTGCAGGGAAGTATTTGCATTGCAAAATTCTTTCCTTCATGACATACACACACACACACCCACATATATACACTAGCATACTCTTTAAAAACTTGGTTATGTTCTGAATTTATCTATTTGAAGTTCTTCTGCAGTTATTTAACTTTAAATTTTCAAACAACCTCTGTTTATTATTTTGTTCACAATGGCCTCTTGATCAAAGGATATTCTGTTTTTCCCTCTGAACAGGAAAATGTGTACTGGTCAATGAACATGAATGCATACAAATATGGATTTTCCAGCCAGGAGGGTACTTATTATTACGGTCATTATGAGGTAAATGATCATGTGCCAAGAACAGATGTCAACAGAAGGGCCTGGGATTACCCTTCAACAGTGAATACTGAAGAGGCCGCAACTACAGACACACAATACAGAGGAGAAGCAGGCTTGGATGTGCATGCTACACCTGAAGAATGTTAGTAGAAAATATACTCTGTTCTTCGATTTTATTCCTGTGGCAATATGTTTCATCAGTGATTCTTTTATTTATCATCTTTAATCTTTGAGGTTTTTCTTTTGCTTCTATAGGTATTCCAAATCATGAAAATAATACTAGTTCTCAGGTAGGAAGCTTTCCAGATAATGTGACCTTACACAGTTGTGTTTACTGACTTGTTTTTTGGTCCTGTTGTATTTTAATTATGGTGTTTTTTTTTTTTTTTTTTTGTAGGAAGCTTTCCAGATAATGTGACCTTACACAGTTGTGTTTACTGACTTGTTTTTTGGTCCTGTTGTATTTTAATTATGGTGTTTTTTTTTTTTATTTTTTGGCCATCATTTATGGTGCGTGAAATGATAGGCCAGTGAAGAACCCAATTACAGTTTCTTAATATTCTATTAATTGTTATCCATTTTGAACTTGAACTGCTAATGACCAAAAAAGACTTTAAACTGCTAACTTTAGATTAAACATTTCTGTTTCGTACTGACAAAAGTATGATCTCAATTATATTTTCTCAGGTCGTTTGGCAAGACAATGTTGATCCAGATAACATGACCTATGAGGTTTGTCTATTATAGTGAAGATCTCATTCTTGATTAAAATATAGCTTATTTGTGTTTTCTTCAAATAGGCTGCATACTTGTGTAATATCAAGGTTTCATGTTTAATGAATTTGGCCTTTAGATTTACAGCATAGGGGTTTAGCTTAATATCATGAACTACAATAACGGGCAGCCCACAAAATTTTAATTTTGGGAGAAAGATTAAAGCATTAAAGTTAAAACTCAGTTCATTCTAGGCCATATGCACACTATTGCAAGTAGGTTATTGAAAGCTGAGAACGAATGCTTAAGGAGAGATGTAGTTTACTTACCCTCAAAGTTGCCTGCCCTTTTGAGTTTGGGGTTCTTATGTCTTGAAGTCATGCTGACACCAAGCAGCATTAGGAATTAGGTATGGGGATATTATTGATTGGGAACTTGATTTTTGTACAACAGGAATTACTTGACTTAGGTGAGGCAGTTGGAACTCAAAGTCGAGGACTTTCCCAGGAACTTATTGATTTGCTACCCACTTCCAAATGCAAGTCTGGAGGCTTCTTCTCCAGAAAAAAGTCCAAGGAGAGGTATGATTTTAACTTGTAGGTGATTTATTAACTGATACTGGCTTTCATTCAACTGTTGCTGTTAACCCACTGTTCTGTCCTCTGTCCTGTGTCCTGTAATTCCATTTGCGTCTTCTTCTTAAAAAGCACTTGTGATAAGTTTTCATTTTTACCCAAATTTTCTTCCCTCTAGATAAACTTAAGATGCATATTCACATTGCATGTCTTTCTAGTAGAAGTTTGGTGAAGTCAATTAAGACAAGACAAAGATTTTCTCTCCTATAGCTATCTACTTATGTCTTCAACAGAAACTGTATTGCAGCTGAACTGAAAGAGTGCTGTTTTAGAAACAAAGCTATGTAGAAAGATTGGTTGAGGTGAAAATATTATGCATTGTGGACTTGTAGTAAGATATATATATATATATATATTTATAATTCATCCCGGACAACAACTGAGATGAAATACTTTTTGCTTTTGCTGGGGAATAAGAGACCAGTTAACAGCTGGTGCTCTAGTTTTTCATTTTTGACAAACTAACTGCCTTTGAGTTGGCAGGAAATTTTGATGGTCTCATGTTTCAAAGTGCCTGCTGTGCTTGGTGTTCAACTCCATATAATTAATTTATTTTGTTTGTGGAACAGTTGTGTGATATGCCAGATGAGGTACAAAAAAGGAGATGGGCAAATAAAATTGCCATGCTTGCATGTTTACCACTCTGAATGCATCAGCAAATGGCTTGGCATCAACAAGGTGAGTAAAGAGCAAGTATTTGACAAGGAAGGAATCAAAAAAGCATTTAACTTTTTCTATATTTTGATTTGATGCGTTTTAGGCATATCTTTAATTTTTTTTTTTGTTTGGTGGGTCAGATTTGCCCAATTTGCAACAAAGAGGTATTCGTGGAGGAATCAAAGCACTGAACAATTCCAAACTCCAGAGTCCAGAGTGCATCTATTTTGGGCTGTTGTTGGTTGGTTTATCATCTAATTTCCCCATCTGTAAACATAGGGCTAGTGAATGACTATATGAGTCATTTTTCATATAAATTTTGTTTGGTAGAAAAACATGGCACTTCAATTTCTATAGAAGTCTCCTGTTTCTACACTCGGTTTCTTTAAGAGTATTTTTTTTTATATTCCCAAATAGTATTTTTATTTTTTGGGACATTATTTCGATAATATCAATTGTTTAATACTCGTAACAAAAAGGAAGAATAAAAACTAGTCAAGGGTCAAAAAAATGCAGTATGGGTTGAAGTGAAATATTTGTGGGAGAAAGCTTTTGATTTGTGAACAGTGTGTAAGAGTGGGTGTAAGGAGGGGCTGATGAAAGCAAATCAAATGAACTTAGGCCTACCGTACCAAAACCAAAGCCTTTCCCCTGACTAGATCCAATTAATTAGGAACAGGAAGGCAACATCCAAAAAAGGTTTTGAGCAGTGCTAGGGGTATTCGCTTTTCGCACTCTCCAGCCAACACTTCCCCTTTCATTGGGCCACGTAAGCTTCTTTACAAAAACTTTCAGCGCAACCTCTCGGAAACGAAAACAACGTGATCAACCGACGAGGGGTTGGATCAAGTGGTAAGCGGTTTATTTCAGCTTAAATAAGGTATCGAGTTCGAGACTTTGTGTACGCAGTAGCCCCTGTTGGGTGACTCACCCATCATTTTTAGATGCGCGATGCTGGTCGGATCCGGATTAGTCGCCCCAGATACCAGGCGAAAAATCAAAAAAAAAAAAAAATAACGTGGCCGAATAAAAAAGAAAGTGTTGGCTGGAGAGTGCAGGAGGCGAGTGCCCCTAGCATTGCTCACAAGTATTTAGGTACTGGATTTTAAAAAAGAAAAATAGTACCGTGTATAGTATTTTTCTACAACATTCAAAAGGGAACTAATGGTAGATGGTAGTGTGGAAGTAATTATAACAAGCCCCAAAACAACAGAGTTTGCCTGTCCCTCTGAAAAAGTTGCTACAAATACAAAATTTGGTGTCTCCTCTAAACTGAAATTTACAAATTTGTTTTGCCTTCTGGGCTTCTCTTTCTTCTCAGTGGATTTTGGAAAATAATCGATTCAAGATATTTGTAGACCCCCATTTATGTGGGTTGATTTCTTATCCTCTGTGGCTGTCTCATCAAGACATACACCATTGCATGTTCAAAAAAAAAGAAAAAAAAAAAGACATACACCATTGGCATTGATCCTGATAGCTACAATAATACTATTAATTAATTACAACTTCTTCTCTACCCAAGAAATGATCTCGAGTCTATCTGAATTTTGAGAATGTGGAGAAGGCACAAAGGAGAAGAACGGTTGTTGCCAATCCACCTTCCCCCCCGGTGCTTTTCTGCACCCACCTGCATGCAAAACCACTCCTTCAATTAAGATCCAGCTTATGTTGTGTGATTTAGGGGCTGTTCGGTGAAATTTTTTTTGGAGCTTTTATGTTTTTTTATATTGTTTATAAATAATAAATTTAAATTTTTATTGGAATGAAAATTTAAAAATTACTTTTAAAAATAAGAAAAAATCAATAAAAAGATTTTATAAAAAATAAGAGTTTGAAATTTTTAAATTTTTACTATTTAAAATTTTTTTAAAATTAAAAATATAGCTTTTTAAAAAAAATTAAAATTTATTTATTTTTGATCAGCAAAATGAATATAATGATATTAATACAGAGTACAAGGGGTACTTTAACCCATATACATAAAAAAAAAAAATTAAAATTTATAAAATATAAATAATATAAAAAAACACAAACTTCAATAAACCGAGCCAAACAGCCGTTAGATCCATAGCTTACGAGGATAACATCTATCCCTATTTTATACTCTTCTTTTTCCTTTTTTCAAAAACTCGTGGATGATCAGAAAAACGAAATATATTATTATTACATGCTTCAACAAGTGAAGCAAAACAAGGATGGACCTGTGGACAAAGCTGGGATAGCAGTTTCTACATATAATTATTGATGGAAGTCAAGCAAAAGACATTGGTTGTATTTTGGAAATGGCAAATGAATTCTTATCTGATCTTGATTTGCCAACATAACTGACAGGCGGCCACACAAGCATCGCGCAGAATTGATAGCGCATGCAGCTAGCTCCTTGAAAATGGCAAATGAATTCTTATCTGATCTTGATTTTGGATATCCCAAAACTGGTTCTTTTTTCACAGAAATCAAATGTAATATGCATGGTACGTACCTTTCTGTTTCTGGATTTCAATTTTAGTCTCCACACGCTACCAGATGACTCAACAAAAAATGGGTTCTGATATATAATTGTCTTTCTGAGTCCATACTAGTTTTAGTTAATGAAAAACCTAAAAACTCAAAAGTCCCCTGATTCTGGGGATCCCAAAAGAGAAGATATAATCTTTAAACAGCAAATCTAATTAAGTACACATCCAGGATCCAGCTAACCTTGAATACAATTAATAAAAACTAATTATGTCAGCAACAACAACAACAAAAACAACAACGGGGAGGAAAGAAAGGAGGAGGTGTACATTGAGCTAGATCCGTTGAAGATGGATGGTGTGTATATATATATATATATAGGTCTAATCTAACCTCGTATTGCAAAGCATGTAATCCATGATCCTGTACCACACATATCGTGCACGCGGGTAGATCCTATTAGTATATACTCTTGATTTTCTAGCCAGATCCTCCATGCTCTCCACAAACAGATTCAAGCTCCTCATAGGAGGAATATACAGAATCAGAGGCACCGCCGAGAAAGTGACTGTGAACAACAACTGCAACATATATGTATATCTACCAAATTAACAGACAAAAGTATTGTTATGAAGAGATTCTTTTGATTCAGCTCAAAGGCAGGAGGAGTTCATGGAGAATTGGAGAAAGCAAAGAGAGCAACTTCTGCTCTGAATTTTAAAGTCTGATCGAGCAACAAAATGATTACAATTTTTATTCCAATTTCCAAACAAAGTTTGGGTGCAGAAGAGACTGGTGGTTGGGAACGTGGGGGCTACTTCTACCCGACATCTCAACTATTCAACCTCATTTCGTCCTTTTTAAACGCTTTAAAGATGCCTAATTCTTCAGCGGAAAAGAGAAAAAATCTAGGGGTATAGTACATATGTTGGTGAGTGGCACAAGATTGTCCACATTTTAAAAGTTGTGTCAGAGGAAAAATTTAAAATTATATTTCAAAATTAGTTTTAAATAAATTTTTAAAAAAATACATATTTACATTTAAAAAAAAAATTTAATTTAAAAGATAATTTTTAAAATTTTCTTTAATAAAATTTTAAATTTTTTTTAAAATATATATTAATCTTGATTTTCAAAAAAATTAAAGTTTTAATTTTAATAAGTGATTTTATTTAATTTAAAATTTTAAAATTTATATTATTAAATATTGAATAGTTAAATTTAAAAATTAATTTTTAAATATAAATTAAAATTTTAATTTTTTTTAAATTATAAAACTGACACCCACTAACTTTAAAAATATTAGTTTTAAAATATGTATTTTTAAGTTTTACAAAACACCAATTAAAACCCAACTCTAGTCTACTGTGTTGTCACCAAAAAGCACATTAATATTCGGTAATTATTTTTTAAAGCTGCTCTATAATTATAAAATTACAAAATCATTCAAAACATTGATTAAATTTAATCATTTTCTCTTTCTCATTTCATTTCCACTTCCATGGGTGAGCAACAAGTATTCCCTATTCTTTATCCAAAGAAAAAAAAAAAACCAAGTATTCCCTATGCGGTTTCTTTTTTTTTGTTTTTTATCAGCAAATTGAAATAATTTATTTATAAAAGTACAAAAGTACTTTAATCTATTTACATAATAAAAGACTAAACCATCGTAATAAAGACATAGCAAAATTGACATCATTTATAATAAAAACATATCAGCCAAAAGCAATCAAGCCTCTATTGCCGATCATATATGACCCTGTTTCAGCTTCAAATACCTCTTTAGTTCCTTTTTATGCCTCCTCACCTCCAATGCACAAGCAACTGGGTCACCCGTCCATTCATGAAAGGAGAACGTGGTGCTAGTATTCTTAGATTTAATCCAAGAAAAGGACTT